GTCGTTTTGGTAGACTAAAATCTTACCCGATTGGTAAGTGATAGAGTTGAATTTTACCGTTAAATGCTTACCGGGTAAGTGTTTAGGTAAACGGCTCATTCTCTATCTATAAAATAAAATTTCAATCAATATGTAATTAATAAAATTAAAAAAATAGGATATCAAATTATAAAAGAAACATCTATTTGCTAAATTAAAAAAAACATTGAGCGAGTTGAAAAATAAAGTTAAACAAGTACACCAACAATGGTTGGAATTTTGGAGAAACATTGAGCAAATCAAATGATGGAAATTTCGGATTTCAGTTTTTGACGGATTATGGATTTTTTATGGAATTAGAAAACACGGACAAATGAGAAATGAGTACTAAAACTTAATGTCGTGAACAAACTATTTTAAAAGGTGAGCCTACATCATATGAAAACTCAAAATAAATTATATATGTGCATTTTGGCTTTCGGTTTGGTCCAAACCACTCAAAAAGCGTTCAAGCCGCAGACCAGACCAGACCAAGTGATTTTGCTGTTTTTTATACCAGATTAGACCGCAAACTACCAAAAACGATATAATTTACTTGGTTCGATCTGCTTGTACAGGTGGATGGTTTTTTTTTAACACCCTGCAAGTGATGAACGGGTGGTCCTTCCATCTGACACGTCTTTTATACAAATTTGGAAATTGTCACGTTACCCCTAAAGTTCTCTCAAATTTAGTTTTTCATTACGGTAGCGTTTGTTTTCCAAGAGATGTTGAAATCTAAAGTTTTATTTTAATTCTGATTTATAAAGATGGTGTTGAAGTTTGAAATCTGAATCATTAAGACTGTTTGTTTTTGTAAACTGATAAATGTCTGAATTTGTTTAAATTGTCTATTATACCCATTAAAAATTATAGTGTTGAATCTATAGATAAATTTATACAATTTCACATATTTATTCATAATCATACGAGATTACATCTAAATTATATAATTAGCTTTCATTTATACGAAAACACGTCATTAACGGTATTTAACACATTTAAATCCTATTAAAATACATCAATTGAGAGAGATGAGATTGATTTGGTAAGGATATATATTGAGAGAAATGATCAATTTTTTTAATCGATTGGGAAACGTCGTTATTGATAATTTGAAAAACAATAAGAGGCAAATAATAGGTTGGTTTACCACTTACCAGATAAAAGGACAACAAGACATAAGTGCCTCTGAAAAATTAAAAAAAAACAAACAATTTGAATGATCCTAGCTTTTAATGAATCATACATAAAAGGCTGACAAGAACTTTTTTATAAAAAAACAAACAAGTCCTATATATCAAAAACACGTTTAAAGTTTTCAAACTTCTATTTTGTCTTCAAACCAAAACTTCTGTGAATTACCAAACAACCCATAAACTTTATAAGATTCTATTTGTACCCCAAAAAATGTTAGATTAACATTTTTCACCACAATTTACTTTCTTTACGTCCTAAATAAACTGTAAAAAGCATGATAAATGGGTTATATCAGATAGATGAATATGTTTTTAAAAGAAATACATGATATTTTTATAAGAAATCGGTAATTGAAATTGTTGGTTATATTAACAAGGTAACGGGGCCTTCACACTAGATCAAACACACAACATAAGCAAAATTTGGTTGTAAGTAAGGAAATTGATCGAGATGATCGAAGTTGGAAGTGCAATTCTTGGCATTGACTTTTATGAAAGTCAATGCTCAAGTTCTTCGCATTTGAATTAAGTCTTTCATAATTTAACTCTAAAAAAAAATGAGTGGTTTCATGTCAAATAAACAAAACATCTCACAACACAATGATTTGATTTGTAACATATACACATGGCCTTCTTTTTATGGGCCGGAGGGGGCTCGTCAAGGGGAGCAAATCGAGAAGACCTTCAAAAACCACCGGTCGGCTGATGGAAATGGACTGACTACCGGGGATATTCGTGTTACCTCGTCTGCACTGGTCTATACACGAATGTACGAGTTATACTGAGTACTCAGTAATTATAGACCAATTCATGAGATCCATAAGATCCAATTCAAACCACAATAAATTAGATGAAATTTTTTAAATCTAATATAAATTAAAAAACCTATTTCTCTCTTTATCTTTCACAATAAATTAGATGAAAATTTGGGTATGTTAATATTTATTGTCTTCCGTATTAATTAAAACTTGTTAATATATGTTAAGATTTATATGTTAACACATTTTTATGTTAGACGAAGGATTATGTGAAAATAAAAGTTAATGTGAGAAATGAAAGAAGGGATCGGGACCATTGATCAGTTTTAATTTCACCCCCACCCCATGAATTACGTTTGATACGGGCTATTGATCCAAGCATTGTCGGTGCATCTCATTATAGTTGATCTTCAATTAGGATTGATCCAAGAGCAGACATCTCTTCTTATCATTCTCATCATAACTTCTATTCTCACTGGAACCCGACTCGTTTAGGTTATGAGGTATGTTAACTTATGTCCATGTTAACTTCCATGTTCTACATACATCTTTGTCATCGACGCTTGATTTTATTAACAAAATCAGACCACGTGGATCTAAGGCCTGAGATCTGCTAATCGAGTTATTCCAAAGTCCGTGATGACTTCCTACACTTCCTAAAGAGTGAAAAAAATATATCTTAAAATTATGTTTGAAAAAATAAGTTCAATTTATACTTGTCCAAAAATACAAATCAGAAGTATATGCATCTTAACAGAACATGCGACTCAAAAAGCACAATAAGAATCCAAGTCATATATTTATAAATTCAAACTCGACCCCTTATACATCGAGCTCGTATTTGTAATTTTTGTAGAAGCCGACAAAATGGCATTCAACCAATCAAACTCGAATCAAGATTGAGATGGACCAACCAATATACATTCAGCATAACGATTAATTAATAGGAGGGCTCGGGGCGTACACAATCTTCTTGATCATACCACTCTCCATTTTGATATGGTTCTCTTTCGTAATAGCGATCCAAACTATAGGAAGCTGGGCGTAGGCATCCGGTTGCCGGCCTGCATCGGAAGCTTTTTCGAACTAGTAGATGAACCACTCCTAATGTTTTGCCATATTAAGATTTTACCCAAAAATGAAAAATAACAAAAGATAAAAAAAAAAATTATGTAAATAATATTTATATACGCCAAATTTACACATACTCCTCAAGTTAGAGTAGTGATGGCCAAACCGCCCGACCCGACCCGGCCCGGGACCGCTGGAGGACCGGGACGGGGACCGGCAAGGACCGGTTATGGGACCGGCGGTTACAAACCGGTTAAGCATTTTGACGTTTTCTGGGACCGGGACGGACCGGGACCGGTTATGGGACCGGTTATGGGACCGGCCCGGCCTACTACCCATTTTTCTTTTTTAATTCTAGCCGTTAGATGCCATTATATAACCGTTAGGAGCCGTTCTTTTTTGTATTTTTTTGCCCCAAAACACTATAAATATGTATCAAGTTTGAGAGTTAAACATACCAATTTTCTCTCTTCTTCAAAAACGCAAAAAACGTTCACAATTCTCGGTTTCTCGCTATATTTTTTGAATTCGACTCGTATTAATTTCTCGTTTCGACTTCACAATTCGCATTTCTTTCTCTCTTTGTCTTACAAAATGGTCGGTGAACAAGCATCAAACGAACAAGTTGTCCAAGTTCTCCACGGACAAAAGTCCGAGATTTGGAATACTACAACTTGGTGGTTCTCACGAACGGAAAAAGAAAGGCACAATGCAAATTGTGTCAAGCTCTCCTTACGGCAAAAGAAAATTCTACGTTAAGGAGGCACACCAAAAAAACGTGCCCGGGGTTGAGGTCGGGGGGAGATTCAATTCAACCGATACTTGACACTCAAAGTCAAATATGGTCGTATGATGCCGAGTTGAACCGACAAATGACAACACAATGTGTCATTCAAGTCGGGTTGCCTTTCGGACATTTCGGCAACCCTCACGTTACGAAGTTGATTCAAAAGACGCTACAACCACGATACAAGTCGGTAAGTCGTCAAACCCTTAGACGTGATGCAATAAAAATGTGGAAAATGTGTCGGGCCGAAATGCCACAAATGTTTTCCGTTTTGCCTAACAATATTTCTTTAACATGTGATGTATGGAGCGCACCATACGGATTGCCGGTTTCGTATATATGCATAACGGCACATTAGGTTGAGCCTACAACATGGATTTATTCAAACGTGCAATCGCGTTTGAACCGTTTGGTGCGCCATATTCGGGAGCACGTCAATTTTCAATTATTAAAAGATGTTTTGCATTTTATAATTTAACTCCTAAAATCATTAGTATTTCATTTGATAACGCTAGTAATAACAATGCTTGTGTGGAAAAATTAAAGTGTCATTTGATACCTACATTAGACGGTAAATTATTCCATACACATTGTTGTGCACACATAATAAATTTAGTCGTTCAAGACGGTTTAAATACTTGTAAACCCGTAATAGATAAGTTCAGACTTATGTTGCGGTGAATTTTCACAAAAAGGTAAAAATAAATAAATGCGGAATATAAAAAGTATTGCGAATACGTTGGTTTTAGAGCTTTGGAACCGAGGTTCGATATGTCCGTTCGTTAGAATTCGACTTACTTTATGATTGAAAATTTGATAAAACAAAATATATATAATTTAAATATATATATATATATATATATATATATTAAAAATATATATCATTTAAAAAAATAAAAAAATATCTTTTTTAAGGAGACCCCGATAGGGACCGGGACCGAGACCGGTATCCCATGCGTTACTTTGACCGGTCATCACATTTTCGACCGGGACCAGAACAAGTTATGGCAAGACCGATTACAGCCGGTTACAGAAAGAAGAGGGCTCAATTGGGAGCGGTTTTTGGCCATCACTACGTTAGAGACATGAACCGCTCCCAAAAAGGTTGGAATCTAAACGTTTACCCAGGTACTGTTGAACAGGCCATTGAGTCACAGAACAAACATAAGATAAGTTGTTGGAAATAACATCTATAATTTGTTTTCTCAGCATACATATGTAGGGGTAGTACATTACAAGTCTTGAATGCATGATGTACAAGTCTTGAAGGCATGAGAAACTAATTAATCAAACCTTAGTTGATGCCAATGGACATCATTGACTTAAACTCTTGAAAGTTAACAAACCCATCCCCATCTTTATCAACACCTTTAATCATTTTTCTACATTGTCCAAGCTTGGAATTGCTACATCCAAGACTCATGAGCACCCTTTGCAACTCCTTTGCAGAAATTAGTCCATTCTTATCACTATCAAACACCATGAAAGCATTTCTAAGATCATCATCATCACCACCACCATTATCTTGCTTGGAAACAGCAAAAACTGGGTTGGAAGCATCCATAATAGTCATGAATTCATCCAAGTCAATGAACCCATCTCCATTAAAGTCGACCTCTTTCAGGATCCCTTGAGCTTCCATGGTGGCCATAGACTTTTCATGGCCGAAAGTCAACAACACATTTGTGAGCTCCAATTGAGAAATCTTGCCATCGCCATCAATATCAAAGAATTTGAAGACTTGCTTGAGTTGATTTGTCACATCCATGGCTATGTAAGATGAGATGTGATGAAGAACACATGAATTCTTGGGGGTTTTCTTCTTCAAGTTGTTGACTTTGCCTTTCTTGAGGAAATTCCTCACGTGGGTTTGCAAAGAATTAGGCATCGTAGAAGTAGGTAGCTATTGAGAGAAAGAAAGAATGGTTGTCAAGAGTTGTATGGAAGGAAAAGTAGTGAGAAAAAGGGCAAACAAAAAAAGTGGGACGGCATGTTTCATGTATTTTTCATATAATTGTTCATGATGTATTTTATATCTAAAATTTTTATTTGGTGTCACGGGAAACCAAAATAAGAATTAACACGTCTTATGTACATGTGAAAGGATCAAGATAACAACTATATAATTTGGACTAACCATATTTTATTATAATATATATAAGGTATATTTCAAATCTAACCATGTCCATTTGTACAACAAATGCAACCAAATCAATTTAGATATTTATGGAAATGATAAAGTTCATTTATTATGATTTAAATATCTATGGAAGATGACTAAAATTCATTAATTATGATCAATACTTTATATTAGAAAACAATTAAAACTTTTATGAAATCACATATTCATCAAATTAAATGAACGGCTGAGATTGAGTTGTATTAGTTGTACAAATGTAAAGTAAATAACTCACCTCTCTCTATAATATTATATATATATAGTTAATACTTTCTCCATCTTAAAATAAAACACAGCTTTAGAATGTATAATTATTACACTTTTTAATTAACTAAATAACACATTCACCCTTGATAATAAAAGGGGAAATTTTCGATGGAAAGACTATATATAACAGATAAATATAATAACGTATTTGAACCAAAGGGCCTTTGGTCCTACGGTACCTAGTAACCCCACTTTAATGGGGTTCTAGTTTCACTAAAGTCGACAAGTAACTAATTGGATGATTCATAGGCTATAGGGTTATGTAAAAAAGAAAGACTGAAATTGTTTGTGAATGATATGAAGATGTAAAAAGGAGGCATCTTACCGTAAACATCTTCTCAGCTGCAAATTGCAATAACTAAAGATCCATGAATCAATCAATTGTGAGAAACCATGTGTGTGTGTGTGTGTATATATATATATATATATATATATATATATAATATATATATATATATTGAAGAGGATGGGCAATAGCAAGTAGCTAAAGAAAGAGATAGGGGGGGAGGAAGGTTAAAGGAAAGTGCCTGCCGGCAATAGCATTCACTTGAGTTGATACCTTTTTTGGTGGTTTATGGAGCAAGTTGTGGTGTCCGCAACTGCCGGAATCAATGATTCATTCAAACCTTTACTCCACTCCTTCCATTTCCAATCATTGACTGCACAGTAGCTTCCTCAGATACCACCATATGGTTCCTATTCGATTCAAATGGGTATGAGGATAGAACAAAAACACAAAAGTAACATCACTTGCAAAAACGACAATTACGCCTTCCAAGTCGTCTTCTATTTAGACATGAGTTCCACACTTTCAGCTATAAACACTCCTTTCAAGCCTTTCTAATGCAAGTTTATTCTATTCCTAATTCCAATTCTAATAGCTCTTTCAAATATACATACATATATATATATATATATATATATGTGTGTGTGTGTGTGAAAAAGAAAATGAACAATTAAAATACATCCTGAAAACCGTGTTCATCTATATTGTAAGCACATGTGCATATAAACATCTTCAATTACTTGTATGTACATATTGTACAAATTAATGGTTATTAGGGAGTTCCTTAGTTTTTCATTTTTTTTAGATTTTCCCCTAAATCTCACTTTCTATATATAATTCCAATTATAATCTCACTAATATTCATCTTTTTTTCCCCTTAAAAAGACCAAGATTGCATACACCATACATGAGATATAATAACTATTTTCAACAAACCATATTGGCTATTGGTAACAGGAGATCTCAAATACAAGCCATGTAAATGTTACACACCATACAAGCCAATCTCGGTTCTTGATTTGGTGTATTTTGAATTTTTTAGGCAATTACCAAATCAATTGTGGATAAGGTTGAGAGTAAATTTTAGAACTGGTTTAAACCATATCGTTGACATTGATTTGATAATCCGCAGAGACGGTTAAGATTGATTTGTACAGTTTGTAGAATTTTGATGGTTTATATTTGAAACGGACTCTAAATGTATGTAAATATAGTAATGTGTACAATATACAGCAAACCACAAACCATCCATCTCTATAAAACCAAAAATGAAGAAGTAAGAGATTGTTCTCAAGAGTAGCAAGCTCAAGATCATTTAAGAAAAATATCAACCACTCAAAATGGTTTTACCTGAATCCAAGTCAAACGAGGAGCATCAGCAAGAAAAACTCAAATCTGTCATCGAGATACAGTTTGATAGCAGTGAGGAACATACCTAGCGACCGAAAACCACGATTAAGACCATCAAACAAATAAGAATAAACATATTTACAAAAATCAATCATACCTGTAATCTGCATAAACCCTCATCATTCTTGGTAGCATCAGTTGACTATGAACCTGCAAAAGCCCATTACAAACCAAATCCAGGAAGAAAAAAAAGCCCCAAACAGATGAAATTTTGTTACATTTAATCCTTCTAAGATAACTCCAACACATAACAGTTGATTAAGATACAACAAAATTCCTTACCAAACCTATTGATTCTATGTGGGAGCGATCCCCCAAGTGAAAGCAACCACTTAAGGTTCAAACACCAAGCAATCGATAAGGTTCCTAACTCTATCATACACTATGAACAATATTATCAACCGAAAAAAAAAATTAGGGAAAAGATAAAAAAAAGGAAATGCAACAATATTACACATCTCAAAATCTGAGGATACCATTCAACATGATCGCAGCAAAACAGGACCCACCGAGGAGCTGAGCATTTCACTAAGGGCTATCTGGACCTCACTGGATCCATGATCGCAGCTTATCAGGCTAGAAACCAGAGGGAAAAAGCTAGATAAATTCTTCTCAAATGAAGAGTCTCCCAAACTACATATAGCCTGTAGAGTTGCAACGATAACAGGCGCACGTGCAGCCAGTTCTCTCTTTTTCCCAGAGCCTAACGGTATCAACCAGTGGGCCCGGTTAGGAGATAGCCCGGTCATACGTGCAGGCCATGCTATTTCAACATAGAATTTTAATACTTCTTGGCAAAGGTCAACAAGTTGAGACTCCACTTTTGATTCCTCAAAAGATGGAGGTCGGTCCACCGCAAGGTTCTGTAGAAACGTGAGGCAGGTTTGATAGGACTCAATTTCAAGGCGTAACAATGGAGGATCCTGCATTTGTGTCATTGGGCCAAGCTCCTGTAGCTTAGAACGCAATGTGGTGTCGGCATTTATCTTGTGGGCATGACTTGCCACCCCATGCACTGCATCAAAGACAACTAAGGTGTTCTTTGTTGATAGCTGAGGTCTGTACATGTTATAAATCTCTATTATTGCCTGCAAAATTTACAGAAGTTTACATCAAATCTCTTTGACACTAGTGATATATTCAAGTTAACAAATAATATAATTTTAAACACGAAAAAAATATTGATGGAGATGAAAAGATGTGTGAATATACTCTTTACAGGAGAATTCGAATTCAATAATTGGCCAAGCAGCCGGTGAATGTGAAGCTTCCCTGGCAAACTGTTTTCATGAAAGACATTCTAGTTTGTAAGATCAGTTATCTACATGGTATTTCCTTGAGGAAATCCGATTTACTATCCAATGCTTTGTTCTTCATCTAACTTAATAGAAGCCGAGTGTCCTCTTTCCCCATCTGAGAAGCTCCATCTGCTCTAAATGGTGGGCTAGAATCTTATGTTTGGTTGTTAAAGAAAGCTTAAACTGGGTGCACTAGAATCTTGTGAAAAGCTACCTAAACAATACTCTCTCCATCCTATAAAAATGCAACATTTGACTTAGCACATAGTTCAACAGAAGTCTTTGACTAATGAATTTAAAATATAAAAGCACTTCATAAGACAAAATGGAGAGACTTGTATACATTAAGCTTTAAAATACCTTGTAATGATTTCTATTTGGACCGAGGGAGTATTAACTTCAAGCACCTAAATCCAATATAGTATGTTGCATCCCCAATTTGACTCTACCAAACTTCCTGAGGACCTGAACTACATTTCGATTAAGAATATCATATAAGAATATTTTGTGATATTCAAATTCTAGCGAAACCGTTATCTCAAGTCCTCTCCATATATTACTCCATTCAAACAAAATTGCAATGACTTCCATTTCTGGGATGTCTCATATAGATGGCAACTTGTCTCTTGGAAAACTCGGAGGATAAAAATGACCTAGCTATCCCCCATGATCATCATTACTACAAAAGAAGTTTTATATACATGTGGATCATTCTGCTACTTAAAAACATCATGAACTTTTGGAGTTTCCAGTTTGACGAACTAATTGTACATCTGACAGTTGGACTTAAAAAGGAACCAAAGCTGCTAAATTAATAAAAATATACACCTGGCCTCATGAAAGCGTAGAGCTCAGATGTTGACCTTATAACAAGGACTGTGTACAACCATTATTTGTGACAGCATCCAACTACTCAATTACGCCTCAGGCGTATATCAATTAACCATATCCATAAACATCAGCCTCCGCACTGTTGAGTCGTCTATAGTCATCACAAACTCAGTCTAGTTTGTGATTCTCAGTTGAGATATATCTGGCGAGATATGTCATTAGTCGTGAACTTGACTATTAGGACATGAGCAGTTTCTGAATGTTAACAAAAGTCCCTAACTTTGTTCTTAAGTGTATAATTAAGGCAAGTAATTGCCCATGAAAGCATGCAAATGACAAGCATACGATCTACAGAAGAGTAATATGCATGGCTATCTCCACATCAAAAGCTGAAATCAACAGCAAAATATGTGTGGCTGGAAACTTTTGTCAAAAAAAATTGAGTAACCTATAAAGAACCTTTTGGCCTTGGATACTGGAAAAAACAATCCAGTCAAAACACAGGTTGAATTGTTGCAGTCTTGTAGATAGTCCAATGCACCCAATTTTTCATAACCATAAAAAGCACAAACTAGATGAATAAAAAAGAGATGACGCACATACAAAGAGGCCGATTGGATCTCATCAGTCAAACCACTGTCTTCTTTCCTCACCCTCCTTCCAATCAAATCTATTTGTGACTATGTAAGCTATTCTTAAGAGATCATACATAGATGTCGTCAAAGTAGACCTTCCCTTGACTAATATAAAAGTAAAGGCAGCTATCTGGAGAATTTTGGGCCAAAGGCATCACAAGACAGCTAAGTTTACCATTAGCATTTGAATTCAAGTATTCAACATAACTATAGCTATTGGTGAAAGCATAAGCAAAACAAATATACCCACCTGGATCAATAGAAGTTGGACCGCAGCACGACACTTGACATCAGAAACGGCAGTGTATAAACGGTCCCTCCACAGGTTCTCCAACTCCTCATCCCGCATGCTAGCCTCAGCAGAACCCCCATCACTTCGTCTCGTAGAAACATCCTCATGGTTCACAATTAGCCCATCTCTACTTAAAAGAAACAAGAAATCAGGAAGTGTTGCATTCGCAGCCTCTTTCAAAGACGAAACCACTTCAAGCCACTTGTCATCAGAGAACAATTCCCCAGCATTGCTCATCAAACGAACAAATGCAGCAATTCCAATACCAGCAAGGCTTTGGTGAGGACGCTTGATAAAACTCACTAACAACATCAGAACCTTCTTTAAAAGTGGGTTGACAGTGTCATAGAAATTAACAAAAAGATCCACAACCAACTGGAGTGCAAGTGTGCATGTCTCATATAGCCAAGAGTCTTGATCAAGCTCGTCCACGTCACCATCAATCCCCTGTTCTGAAGAGTTCTCACCAGAAGGATCAATAGCATGCCGGACATAATCAAAGATTGGAAATAGGACAGAATCAAACACCCTTTCCCACAAAGGTAGAGAGAAGTGATGACCATGGTTTCGTAATGTATCAAAGAGTGTTTCAAGGGCACTCTTCCTAATCTCAGGCCTTGAGTCAAAGCTAAGTTCTGACAACCCTGAGGAAACACAACATAACATTCAATATTAGATCATAGTTGATCATCCTTGAAGAGATAGCACAATCTAAAACTTAAATTAAAACATTAGTCGATCACATTTGAAGGGGAAAAATGGAAAAATGGAGCTACCCAACATCGAAATGATTTTCATATAAAAATAGTAAATATTTTTCCTCACCAGCTAGTAATGGAAACCAGAAGTACAAATGGTCTTCCTTATCTGCCAAATCTCCATTATCATATCTTCTGTCTTTTTTTGCATAATGTGGAGACAATGATATCTTTTCAGACACCTCTTTGTCCTTATCCATTGAGGAGGATCCTAAATCTCCTTTAGCCAGTTTTGCCGCACACAAACGCAAGAAATCAATAGCATTGAGACTGATATCTTTGTCGAATCTGCTACTGGTGAATGCAATCAGACAATTTACACAATCTGTAAAAGTGGTGGTTTCTGTTTCAGTGATGTAAGGAAAATAGTCTCGCACTATCTTCTCAATCATTTCAAAGGCGAGGAGTACAATATTTTTGTGGTCATCATAAGCTGCCGTAGTGAAGACCTAGCCATTTTCCCAAAATTAAAAATTAAATGAAAATGCTATTCAGAAAAGTATATTTAACTAGTGTAGAGAATATCAGAGGTTAAATACCATGAACATGCTTTTCCATCCTGACTTGACGTTATTGACACGAGATAGAACCATTTGAGAGACACATCTGATGATCAGCTCTCTAATTTCCACAGCACTACTTTTACGCATGACAATCACAAAAGGCTTCATAAACTCATTCTGAAAATTGTAATTAGTTAACTCTTCCCTTTCCAAGAACTTCATAGATAGTTGGCGTAAAGAATCCATTGCAAATATTGCAATTGACAGATTTTCAGAACAACCTATAGTCACAAAAAAATCAGAGAGTACATTCCAGATGCCTGTCCAGACAAGCCTGATGCGGTTCATGTTATAGTGACTGCGCAATGAAAGAAAAAGAACAGGTCACATTCAATGAACAAACTGGAAAAGGGAGAATACACACCATAGAGACCTATAACTACTGTCATGTAACTAAGTGAGACAGAAGAGTAAGATCCATACGCAATTTCAACTATTTTTGTGAGGCTAAACACTCGTGGAGCAGATGTAGATCGTAGTTCCTCCATAGACACCTTGCAAAGTGCCTTCACAAAATCAACTATTGCCTCGCTGTTAAGTTTCTGACTCCTAATGAATATACGATTCATTTCACCAACTTGTTCCAGCATGTTTAACTTAGAGACCAAACTATTCACCTGCTCCGTCGTAATGCCTGCAGAAGTATTACCACCAATGCCAGCACTATCATATGAACCTCTTCTCGTTGCTGCAGCTGCTTGCTGAAGCCTTCCAACTCCCTTTCTTTTAAGAACAGGAAGGATATATGACTTCGTATGTTTTGATTTTTCAGATTCATTCTGATTAACAGAAAAAAATGTGGCATCTGGAGGAGCCCCCTCTCCCAATAGATGCAAATGTTCAAACCGAGAAACACATGTCAGGATATGCTCCCATGCGTCCTGTAGATAGTTCCCATCTTCATCTGCAATTGTAACTATTGCCTGTGAACAATCAAGAAAATTATAAGAATCTGTTTGACAAGGCTAGAAAAAGATGACATCGAGATGAGCATACGTCTTCAACTGTAAAATTTACAGATTTGTACGATAATTAAGAACTTCGTTTGCTTACACTCTGGGCTCTTATGTCATAATTCAAGTGTTGGCAATAAACATAGCCCCTCAATAAACCATTCATAGATCTACTACCAGACACTTGCCTTCAAACATGTAATAATGTCACTTGCCCTCTTTCCTATCCTTATTCAAGAAACGATGCATAAGGGTGTCAATTAAAAATCTATTGTATATTAACTCAAAAATCAGGTTTTGCATCTGGGATCTCATTATGCTGCTTGATGAACAATTGCCTCCTGCTAAAGATAGAAGAGACTCTTCTGTAAGTTTGAGGATAAACCATGGCTAATGTCACTGAATGACGTTATAGTAAGTCTGATGACTATAAAATCTATCCAAGAGTCAACCTAAATGGAAGCTACAGTTGATGCATAAACCACATAAGAGAACATTTAAAAATCCTACACATTAATAATAAACAAGAGAAGTCTTCATGAATGTTACAAAGGACTTCCTGGAAACTTGATCATTATTGTACAAACTGACCACGCACAGTGATCCATGGAATGTTAATACAAACCTTGATAGCTTCGATGTTCTTCTGTTTTATATCAGCTGGTGAATGAAGGGAAGTAAACTTTGCCAGCGATGTCAAGAAAGCATCTCGATGAGTCTTCATGGACATTGCTGCAGTAACATGGATAGCACAACGAAATCCCTCCAGACATTGAGCTATTATTATCTCATCATCACTTTGGTCAAGAGGAACACTAAAGGCAGCTAGCATAGGAGCCCAGCACACCTCTACCATCAATGTAAGTATAAACACATCTGTTGCAGCATAATAAACTGACCTAGAGATAGCCAATGCAAGTGAAAAGCAAAAAAAAAAAGTTAGGTGATGAATATTAAAGAGGGAACAAAGCACCAGAAAGAAATTCAGAAAGACATCTGTTTAGTTAAGCAACAAGAATAAAGGCCACCAAGCACATAGCCTCAAATTGAGGCCCTCAATTATCTAAATAGACATCATCAACGATTCATCCTATCAGGACATTCAAATGTAACAGTAACTTCTTTTTTATTCGCTTTTCCCTCATTATATATCATATGGCCACTATCCTCACTCATAAGCTACCACATCCACTAGCATAAAGCGAAAGATCTTTTACATAGAGAAATCATACTCTCGCCTATCCACAGATATCAATCACTAGCACTTTAAAAAATTATATATGCAAGAACAATGAAGTAGTTTATATAGAAGCCAGTAAATGTAGTATATGAGAAATGACAGCTTATTTGTATGTAAGAAAAATAAAGCATAAAAATATTGGAAACTGAAAGTTTTAGGGACCTATCATCCATGCTGAGAAATTGTCCAGAGAATGTTTGATAAAAAGGTCAATCGAACTGAGATGGTAAGATTGTTTCCTACAGACTCTCTTCTTAAGTAATAGATGGGTCATCTTACTCCGATTTGCGTGCTTTCTCTTTAAACTGTTCTTGCATGTGTCGCATAAGATCATCACTTGTTTGATTTTCTTCTGCATTCTTACGCACCACAATATTCAATATACTGTCTAAACCCAAAATCCTGTTTGAGTTTACAGACTGCCTCTGTTGAAGGGCGAAATCATCTTCTTTCATTTTAATTTCATGTCTTGATATACGCTCAAACAATGATCTTAGATACTCCTCAGGTAAGTCCTTTCCATCATCTATGCCACGATTATTTCTTATAAAATCGTCAGCTGACATCTGCACAAAATAAAAATATTTGTTATTAGCAGAACTTTTAGGTCAAATCAAATATGAAATATCAAATAAGCTCTAGTGAGCTCCGTGATGATACCTTATTCTTGACCATGGCATTATGAGCATCAGTATTCAGCATTATCACAGAGTAGGCAAGGACGTAGGCTGTGTCGGCACTGATAAACGCCTTTGGATTGCATTTGCAGTAACGTTCAGCAAACTTTTCCATGATGCGATCAATCTTTTGTGCCTCACCAGGCAACCTAAAGCCCCGTAGAAAGGCTCTAATTGCCTCATCAAACTCCATACCATGAAAGTCAAATGAATCCACATATGCATGCATTACTTTAAGTGGTAGATCTTCTCTTTCCCCAAGATAATCACCTATCAAAGTCTTGTTTAAACCAGATGCATTTTTTAAGAACTCTGCTATTTCTTCAGGTGAATTCCCCACCTTATTCACATTGATCAAGAATTCAATGCCCTTTTTAGGCTTACGGTTAAAAAGAGAGATACCTTCCTGCCATTAATCTTACATTAGATCCCTGGAAAATGCTGGATGAAACACAAAGGTAAAACGGCTCAGGTCTCTAGATGAATATATTTACCTGAAGTTCGAGTTTGTAAGCCCGGCGTTGCTCAATAGTTGAAGCATCTGAAACTTCACTGGAGGCTTCGGAATGAGAATCCGATCCCTCAAAAGACTCACGATCATTTGCAATCCCATTTTCCATGGGAGGATTTCCAATTTCAGGACTGTTGTCAACCAACTCAGCTTTCTTTGCAGAATGAGGATCAGGAATGCGCAATTGATGGTTCATCCAGTCTCCCATTGATTTTAAAACAGCCACTAAGCACTTCATAGCTTCTAGCTTCATGGTGATATCCTGAGGCGGCAAAAGCGTAGTTGCAACTCCAGGTGAAACCCCTTGGGCAGTCTTAAGAAGCCCATTGACCATTCTGTGAAAAGAGTAGAACAGCAAACATAATGCAACATAGTGTTCTAAAATTAAAAATGGTTAATATTATAGTTTTCAAGGTGATCAATATAAATGTCCATGTGCTAAAATATTTGGTACAGTGTTAAATATTGTTCGAACATGCAATCCGCATAAAATTTATTATGGAAGATGACTATATAAAACTGCAGAAGACCATACCTTTCAAAAATGTTGGATGAATTGACATCACAGTCATAGTTGACAAATATATCTACCAAGATCTGGGAATCAACACATAGTCTTTTAAGAAATCGCAGTACTATCATCTTCTGCTGAAAATTTGGTTGAGCGACATTCTCTAGAACTCTGAGAACAATCATAGGAAAGAATACTCCAATCTCTGCCTTCAATCCCGCTCTAAATCTTGACAACAGACTAATGAAAATTGAGCAAGAGAGCTGAAATACAATTATAAGGGTCGATGCACTGTTCTTTAGCAAAGACAGGCATAAGTACTGCTTAATGGCTCCCAAAAATCTGCTCCACAATGAAAAGGAAAAGAAAAAGATTAGCATTCAAGTGGAAAACATCTACAGTCAAAATGAAGGGCAAACCTCAAAAATACTTGATACAAGAACCCCCATGCGATAAAACAGATTTAAGTCTATGGACTTTGCAGAAAAGGAATAAGAAGATGAGAATAAACTAAAGTAACCGTTTATACAGGTTTTGATCTTTTTACACCAATAAAGCACTTGTTACATCTAAATTCATTTTGGTCACTCATCTCTCTAGCAACAAATAACTCATGGTGTCTGTATTTGAACAAAAAACAAAAGCAATTATATAAAGCATGAAAATTTTCACATGAAACTTGGAGATTTTACATATTAAAAGAAAATGAAATTTTATTTACAATGATATAGAGCATAAAGAAGATTTAAAAAATGAAAAGAAAGTTGCGGTAATTGGTGGAACAGTACGATAGGATAGGTGAATAATGAAGACATGAAGCTTGGTTATAGACTAGAGGGCAACTACAACAAATAAATTCTTGACGTATTAGTTATTACCACAACAATCTGGTGTGCATACAGAAACTCAATACAACAGCATTTCATTATTTTATTGAATTGAATTATAAACTCACCCATATCATTAATAGACAAAAACCACATTTTGATTCATGTGCATTTCATGATTTTCACAATCAAGTCAATTTAGTTCTGACTTTAACTATTGAATCACATTGGTTACGGAAAACAAACAATGTCACCATCGGTGTAACCTTCTTTTAAAAGAAATAACATGAAACACCTATGACATCCCATGTGACATTTTGAGTGACAGCATCCCAATGTTAACGATCGAGTCCTGTAGCTTTATCATATTAATGATTTAGTCACGATGATTAATCTACAATAAATTGATCATTTTATTTGGTAAACTACATGTACATTAGCAAATATTATAGTTATAACTAATGTTTGAAGGTATATTTAGCAGCATGAATATTTAGCAGTAATTCAGGCCTTGATCAGGGATGTTTGATTTGATATTATTTGTCTCATTGTACTTCCCTACGCTGTACACTATATATTCAGGGTTTTCCCCTCATAATAGAACACTTTGATAATCTTAGCTCCAAATATCCCAGCCAGCCAACTGATGTCAACAATCACACCATCCAGCCACCGACAGCTCTGTTCTGCCTCAGCATTCTTTTTGTTTGATCGACCGGAACCAACCAAGACTGCGGTCTCTTCTTGACGGCTCGACGCCACCTTCTTGACGCATGCCAGTGTTCTATAGAACACTTGGCATAGCTAGGCGGGCAAGAGAACAGTACACAGAGCTAGGTGGTCAACTGGACACCTAGTGCTGATTCTGCTGAATTGATTAACCAAATTTTTAAGAAGATGCATTAAGCAGTCCACTTTTGATGTACAAAATGCAGTTCATATGATATAAGCTTCAATATTAAGAGTTATAAGGCATTGCTTGGCAAAAATAAGCTAGCTTATTTTCTGGGTACATGTTTGGATGCACATAAGCTAGCTTACTGAAACGCTATTTGGAGTAGCATCTTGGTAGCTTACTGTCACTTTTTCCACTTATAACCCTCATTAATATTAATTATTATTTATTACTATTAATTATAAATAAATATTAA